TTGTAGTCGTCTTCATTCATGACTCGAATCTTTTAGATTTGGGTTGTGACAAAAACAAACACGATAAGATACAAATACAATAAAATTTTTAAAAAATAAAATACGAGGAATACAAAAATATGATAATATATGTATTTATAAAACACATATATGTATAAAAACAATATACATGTATTCATAGATAATTTTAAATAATAATTGTTTATGTTATATATTATTTTTAATACACATATGATATGAATACATCTTACCAAAGAAAAAAAAAGTTGAATCCTGCTATTCAAGCCGATTTCGGCTTGGCCTTACCCATGCACTCTCTCAATAGGGCCCAAGCCAAAATTGGCTTTTACATTTTAGTTTTTCAAGTCATCTTGTTCCGTTATGTGAGTTGTACGCAGCAGAATATTTAGAAAGTTTTGTATTTTTAGAAACAGATCTTGTATCTTTCCAACTTTACTTATTTTAACAATTAAATAATTAATAACATGCAACATAATATAAAACAAAGTAAAAAGTTAAAGATGACATCAGGATTTTTAGCAAGGAAACCCCAATTGATAAAATATGTCAACTGTTTGCATGGGAAAAACCCCATGGACTGTGCAGTCCAAAGTAAACCGATCTACTATATTTGAAACAAAGTACACTAAACTGTGACTCTGGCACACAACCTATCGTTAGACCAAACACCAATAGCTGACAATCCTCTGGCTTTGCGACTTCTCGTTTAATAGCAACTTAACCTCAGGCTTATGCTTGATCTTTATAGAAGAGTAGCAGGTAGATCAAACAACACTCCTCGAATGCTTTGACCCTTTCAAAGTGTGATTATTTTTACTTCTATTCTTCAATATATGAATTCGATGTAGAAATAGATCTGTTTTTCTTTGATCGTCGTTGATGCAACTATATGATCACGATCAGGATTTGAACAACACTCTTAAACTCACTATATGTTTATATGTGTGTTATAGAAAGTTATACAGAGAAATTTCTTAGATTTTTTGCAAAAATAATCTTCCTAAAACTTTTATTAATAATGAAGTTATAGTGCATAAGCCACCAATAAACCTAGATAACTATCAAGGTTTATATAGAATATTCAAAGACCTAATCCTTCAAAAAATATAGAAAATTTCGTGCATAGTACTTAGGTGCAATTCTAAACCAATTAGGAAAGAAATCAGAACAAAAAACTGAAGTTACTAAAACCTATCTAGAGTCTTGAACCGGTTCCGAAAAGCTTGAACCGGTTCAAGTCTATCAGACTTGAATCCTAAAGATGAACTTGGTAAAAAAACACAGTTTTGGAGATTTCTGAAAATATTCTAAGTATGGAACATGTCCTAACCTTTTTAGATTTATTCCTAAAGTGTTGTTTTTTCCTTTCTCGATAATCCCAGTTATAGTATCTTTGAACAACCTTCCAATTCCGTAGTTGCTGTTGATCCTGATATGGTGACTTGTAATTACAACTCGACTAGGACTTGTTTTGTTACCAATAATTTCCAATTACAAAATTTATATCTCACAATCTCTTCCATTAGCAATATCGTGACAAAACCCTGAGAACAATTTAAGCAATTTACCCAAGTAGAAAAGTAAATTACAAAGTTGTTCAAAGGCAAACACGGAATTTCATCTATGTTCTCTTCTCTTCTCTTCTTGGATAAACGATTTGACCTGATTTCATACACAATATCAAGCAAAACTATCAGTGAAGTTTAATAAATAAAAAATTTATAAAACTTCCTCTTAATTAAATATCCAATTTTCTCTCCCTGAATATAACATTGTTCTTTCCTTTTTTAGAACAAATTGACAAAGCTTTTAAAGTCAAAGTAGAGAGAAAATAAAGAGAAACAGATTAATCAGTTAAATATGTCATATTTGCAAAATATAATATCCAAAAAATATAATGACTATGTTAACAAAAGTATGATGTCACGGTGCATGAGTAATAAACACAAAAATGTCAGCATCATTATCTCCCCAAAGAAAGCCAGAAAGTCATCAATACTCTAATCTCCACCACTATCCTCATCCTCATCCGAATACTCATCATCATCATCCTCAGCTCTCAAAGATGGATCTGGAGGTGCAGGCCGGCAAACATCATCTGAAAAACCTCTTGTCTGTTGTCCTCTAAGTTGTCCCATTCGAACCTTGAGATCTCGTATCTCATCCATCATCGTATCAAACATAGAAGTCCGATGCTGAAGAAGAAGAGAGTACATCATGTTGGCATCAGCTCTAGAAAAATTTTCCTTGGAGGAAATAGTTGTATAACCTCCGGAGCTTGTGAAGATCCCTCAGCACCTCTCTAAGCCTTTCTAGCATTTTCTCTAGCAGATTTAGACTTGTTTAGAGCATGAGTGTCTAACTCAGTCACAATACGCTGATGGTATGCTCTCGGAGGCGTCTGAATATTCTTGAGCTTGTAGAAATTCATGATAATCATTGGAAAAGGAGATGAATTGCGACGCAAGTTCTTTTTTGTAATGAGCCATCATTAACTGCACAATAAATGGTGCAAGCTATAAGTGTTCATCTATAGCAAGAAAGTATAGAACCTGTGCTCGCTTGAGAGTGATCTTGTCCTTTTTTCCCAAAATATCCCAGATTAGCCATGGCGAACAAATTGAAGAACGCCACTTCATCTGTCAGAAAAACGAGCTAGAATGCTATTTCATTCCGTGGAGAATTTGGAACACAAAATTTGGATGCAATTTGGGGCATATCTGGACCCGAGACTTCTAATGGTAATACTTGTCCTGTCATCTGATTTCTATCTGGAAGATCTAGTATTTCTTGGATGGCTTCTGTATCAACCATATACTCAATCCCAAAGAGTGATACAATGGAGTAATTACCCTTGACCCCTCCAATATTGGCATAAAAGTAATGTACCATATCCGGAGAGAAATAGCTTTTACCGAGCTTGGTAAAGAATAGCCATTTGTGCTTTTCAATGTATATCACAAGCTTCTGCCAGTTGTGTCACGAAGCTTTGAAAATATGGTCAAGCTAGTTTTAAGTCTTTCTGAAGATACTATAGAAATGAAACCCCTAAGAGGTACTGGTCCGAGCTGTTTGGAATAGTGGAAGACCAGCGGCAAGTGTGACCTCTTGTTTGGCCATCCAAGACAAGCTGCCTACTTTGAACAATTTGCAGCAAAGAGGTATATGTGTTATTCCAACACTCCATAATTGCATGTTGAATGCCGATTCAAGAGATCATATGTTTTTTAATTGTAGCTTTGCTCAAGTTATACAGAGGTGGTTAGTTGATCTGTTCAATTGGGATTGGAGCAGCGTGAATAACTTTGATCGATTGGTGGAAACATTCGTTTCTCAGTCCAGGACCAGAACTATGTGGTGGTATAGGAACCTGAAACCTCGTGACCATGTCTTTGTTAATCCTCAGCAAACTGCTGCTCAAGTTATTTGGAATGTGGGTGACACTTCGGGTATTAAGCTGCAAGAGCTGGTGAGAATGTTCAGTTATTAATGACTCAAGTACTGTGATTGAATTTGTTGATGTGAAGCGGTTAAGGAAAGAGTTCTGCTTCTTTTTTTGTGTTGCTACATTTTTCCTTTCAAGATTATTTCTTGGTAATCTCTCTGCTTGCCAATTTCTGGAAGCGGGTGTATTTTAATTGTTTTGTAATGGGGAGGTCTACCTCTCCTCCTTTTGCCTTTGTGGCTCCTTAATAAATGTAGGATAAGGAAGGGAAAAAAAAGATAGACCACTTACTGTTCCAGCCATTAATGACTTCAATCAAGATAAAAACAAAGAAAAAAAGTGCTAGTGTAGGATGGAAGATCAAAAGTCACAAGATATAGTCAGGAAGTGCGTATCAAATGTAAAATTGGTTGAAAGAGAAAAAGATGGAAACTCTACAGAACTCAGACCTAAATCAACCACAGACCTCTTAAAAAATAATAAGAAAAAAAATAAATAATAACTTCAGTTAATTGAGATCTGAACAACAGAATGACACAACACACAATTAAGACAGGGAAAGTAAGGTGGAGAGAGAATTAACGGACACAGTTAGCAAGCAACGGCAATTTGCTAATCTGTTACACAAACTGCATTATTCATGATTTCAAAATCATTTTACAAATTTCTGAACAATTTCACAAATTTCTTAACGATTCAAAGATTTCTAAATGATTCAGACAGAGGTAATATGTTGCACATGTGAAAAAACTGAAATAATAGATTCAATTGAAGATGAACTTGTTGAAGCTAAAACTGAAATGAGTTTGGTGAATTCATAGAACTCATGGCGATAATATGCATGTGTGTGTTACATAGATAGAGAGAGAGTGAAGAAAAACCAGATTGAGCCAACAATACTTGATGCATGCAATTGAATATAGAAGTTGTAGTTATCCAAGAACTGATTCGATCAGTTGTGAATGAGCAAAGAAGTAATTTGTGATTGCCCAAACATAGAGCGATCGAAGAGGCAACAGCACCAACATGAGAAAGTGGAGAGCACCCTACATCTTCTCCTGCCAAGAGAGTATAAGAGGGTTCTGTAGAGTTCTGTGTAAGAACTCTGAAGACCTTGACATAAGAAATACATAATATTTGATTGTCCAAGCATACGGCTTTATTTGTCCGGCAATCTAAACTGCCGGGCAAAACTATAAAATAACATAAATTCTGACACTTGTAGAACTGCTGGAGAAAAGCTGCCGGTGTAGCATAAAATTAGAATATAACACAATTGGTGTTGCTAGGAGGAATCAACATACTGAAAAGCAGACTTAATTTCAGTACGATACCAAGAGCATAGTATAAAAACAATGAACTGCAAACTCCATAAATCAATCAATTTCATAAATATTAAGATAGAAATTGAAATTACAATATTTGAAAAAGTCACAACCCAAGTGCTAAATTAACTGGTGACAAACAACATAGAATGAAATTGATGGACATAAAACACTGAAATAGTCACCACCCAACCCAACCCAAGTCATACTCAAACAGGAAAGAGTGTCTCAATGTATCGATGAACCCTACATCGTTTGAACCACGAAAGGTCATGAGAAGAAGAAACCGAATGGCCATCGAGCTTTTTAAAGGTGTTATCCTTAATGTTGTAGGAGATGATCATATTGGTGCCAACAAATAGCACCAAAAACACATCCCCTTGATCTTCTCCATGAAATAAACTAAGCACAGAGACCATATCATAGCGGACAACCATCTCCTCCTTTGCTGCAAGATCAACAACCATTGGGTTAAGGTCAACCCGATACTTCAATGTCCACTTGGAGTAATCACTCTCCATCTCATAGAAGTTGAGATTAAATCCGGTATCATCATGATAATTAATATAATGCAAATGACCTCTGGACTTCCCAAAATGCCAGAATTTAAACACAGCAACCTGATATGGTGGAGTTGGCATTGGGCACCATCTTTGTTGATCAACATCAAAGTATATGGAAGTTTCTAGTTGGCTGAAGCAAATCTAATGAATGGAACCATTGCAATAGACTCCATTATTGATGCTCACACATACTGATAACTGAAAAGGATGCTGATCACAAATATTGGGTGGTGAAGACCAGGCTTTGGTTTCTGAGGAATAAATATGCATTTGACACAAGTAGCCACCTCCATATAGTTTACTCTGAAGCAAAACAAATTTGTAGTGAAGTGATTTTGAAGGATCAAAAACCAAATAAACACGATCACCAGGAAAAGTGGAACCTGGGGGAAAAGACCAGGGAATATTAGAGAATTGGTTGGTAGTAGGATTGTAAACCTGGTAAAGCTTAGTTTCATGACTTGTACAGCAGATGAGTAGAAAACCATTACAAGAGTCTACTACGATTGTATGAGGTATTCATATCAGCAGTAAATAGAGCCAGTGGGTTGTTTTCTTGTCCGCCATTAATTGTAGTAGAACTATTACATCCATTCATCAAGTCAGAGTGAATGAGGAGCAAGTAAAATCCGAAAAATCTAAACTTTTCTGTGTTTTACACGGAGTATAAAGTTTTATATGAAGAAAATTGAGTAATGATACTTGCACCGCAGAATTGTCAAGCTTATTACATTTGATTAGTCAATACATATTAAATATAAGAAAGTGGGACCTTCATTTTCTTATTTACTGTATTAATGACCAATCAAATTTAGTAGATCTAACAATTCTGCTTAACTCATCGGTGTAAGAATTACTACTCAAAAAAATTATATGGTTATGGAAAGTAATTTGTTTTTAGTTTTCTTTTTTTCCAGCTCACCAAACTTTTAAAAGATCTCAAAATTTTTTAATTTTCTTTATTGTCTTGCTATTACCATTGAAACAAACCTAATTGACAAAAACAAAAAAACCTAAGTTTAAGGCTCCATCCTATTGTATGCGTGAGTGGGTAAAATTATTAACCTAAATTTAACGAAATTGTAAGTTCAAAGTTTTAGAACCTAAAAATTATAACCTTTATTATAGATTAATTTATGTAAATTCAGGTATAAACAAACAATTTGATAATTTACTTGCAAAGTAATTCGATGGATATGAAAAATCATACCCTTAGCCTTAGGTGAAGGATCCTAATGTATAAATATTCATATTTTCAACTCAACTGTATTATTCAATTTTGTTAAAAGAATCAACTACTCATATGATGAATGTGGTGAAATAATTTTTGACAGAATGTAAAAAATAAAATAAAAAATAATAATAACTTCATATGGTAACATTTATAAAATTTGTAAATGAATAGCTAAATGACTTAAATTTGCTCAAGTGACTCATTCAACATTTAAATTAGCAAGCATATAAATTGAATTATACACAATTAAGAAGTGAGGGTTTCCATGTCTGCATTCTTGTGGTCTAGTTACAACTTACAAGTGATTCTTGCTATATCTACTCTTAGATAACGTGCTGGTTTTTGTTGGAGAAAGCACTTTGATTTGTATATATAGTAGGTTTTCGATCAAAAAAGGATGAATAATAATGTAGATGGCCATCTATCGCGTCATGCTCCGTGTGACACTTTCTGTTAACAAGCTCACCTGTCAACTCTGATAGGACTATCGTTAGTCCCATTTGGCACCCCCTTGATAGAGACAATAGTCCCAACCTACTAGGCCCCTAAATAGCCAATGTTGAACTCGTGAGGGTAAGGGGTCGCTACCCTCCACCCTCCTGCGGAGATACCCCGCTCTAGTCGGATGGTCTTCCAACCCTCTTATTGAAGTTCTCTTTTGTAGAAGAAGTTTATTACTTATTAGAGATATTCCCCATCTGGAGCACCCTTGTAGAAGGAGTGATCGAGGTATGGGTAGGAAGGAAGATTCGAGACCATAGAAGGTAGGCCCTCGAAGAGTCTTCCTCCCCCTCTCAAATCTCGAGAATCTGAAAAACAATGGACAAGTGATTGAAATTTTAGGGACCGCCTCGACTCGAGGTCTGCACGAAGGGGGAGAGATTGTTCATTACCATTAACTGAGCTCTTAGGATAGGACACGAGCAGTGCATTAAAAGCTCTGTTTTATGACAAAACCCACATTAAATGTAGGTCACAACTACCACCTTTGATTACAGGCACGAGTTGCCTCAGGCCACCTACTAGTTTCCCACTTGTCAGATGAAACCTTCGGCCTTTGGGTAAACAATAGGACCGGTCTTATGATCAAAGGCCTTTGACCAAATAAAAAGTAGTATAAATAGGGGTAGTAATTAGCCACAATAACTCATGAGCTCGAGCTACCACAGGGTAATGGAACCACCGCCTTCTCTCTCTTAGGCTCCGTGTAATATATTTTTTAAAAAATATATATTTTTATTTTTTAGTATTTGGTTGTCATGAAATTTTTATTAATAAAAAAAAATTAAAATTTAATAAAAATAATTTATCCATTAATTTTCGATAAGTTATTTTATATGCCCTGTCCGATAAACTCGACTTCAACCTCAACGTAAATATTTGTCAAACACCGAAAAAATAAAAATAAAATAATATTTTACCTAAAAAAGAAAATTAATTTTCAAAAAAATTATTTTACGTCCAAACAAACGAAGCATATTACATATCTCTCTCTCTGCTCTCACCCACTTTTTCATTGTAACTCAAACTCGAGCAAGATTTTAAATTCCTTGAAACCCAAGACTTATAATTACCCAATCAAATCTATACAACTATAAAATAGAATTTTAATGAAATTAGAAATCACATACAGAAATTAAAACAAATTGTCAACCATTTTTTGGGTTTTGAAGTCAACCATTGTCTGGTTTTTGAAATATCCAAGAAGTGACAAATATGGGACAAAGAGAGAATATTTTATTTTACTTTGTTCTTTATTAATTTGGTTTTCAGCCTGATTCCCTTTATCATTTAATTTGGTTTTCAGCCTCTGATTTCGTTTCTTACTTTAGTCAACAAGTGGCATGCCACAAAATTATTTAGTATATTGTCCTACTGATAACTTCTTTGTTTGTTTTTTTATTCTATATGTTTAAATTGGTTATTTCAGTTTCTATTTTTCCCTTATTATAATGAAATTATGGAATATGCCAAGTATTTGCAGTTTTTCATCACGTGTTTATTGGTACACTAAGTACTTCTATATAGAGAGAGAGAATTCTAAAATTCCTAGATGATTTTATCAGTACAATTGTAAATGTTTTTGTTATTTTTTTTCAGCTTTTAAAATTGTATAAATAGGGATGAGAATTATTTGTTCACACCAAGTTACAATTTTCTCAAATGAAAGTGAAGGAAACATTTTGGCAAAGAAATATGATCCCGTGCAGAGTTTCTAATGTGAAACTTCTAGCCAATACAGAATTGATTGGTTCAGGTAAGTCACAAAAAAATCAACACTTATTTAACTGAATCAACGTTTACCGAATCAACGTTTACATTGACCCAACACTATTCCGAGGTACTTGCAAATCCAAGAATTAACAATTTAGGTAAAAATTGGAGAGAATTTGTGTCCGTCTTTGTTTGAGATTTGAGGTATAAAAGTATTTGTTTCTGTGAGAATTTTTGTAATTGATAAATTTCGGTAACAAAACAAGTCCGATCGAGTTGTAATTTCAAGTTCAAAATTCAAGATCGAGATCAACTGCGAAACCGAAAAGTTATTCGAGTTTGTTTACTGAAATTTACGAAAAAGGAATAAACAACACTTTAGAAAAATGAGTTTTGAGGTTAGAGCACTCTATTAAGCTTTCAAACACAGCTCAAGACTTTTAGAGCCTTCACAGTTCAAGACGTTGATTAACAGGGTAATGAGACATTGCTAGACTTTTTTTTGTTTTTCTGGTTAAAAACATTGCTGACTTGAACCCAAAGACCGTAAGTTAAATGGATCAAAGAATACACAATGCTGAACAACATGACTTTTAATAGTAGAATATAGGGAAATATTAGTGAAATCCACCAAGCTCAAAACTTACAACCTCATCATATATAAGATTTTGCTTTACTTTTTGACATCATGATTCAGCATCACAATCATGTAATCCTAGACTAAAAGAATATGAAAAACAACAACCACAAGCTCCTAGGTGAACAAGAACTACCGAGCCGTTGGCTGCGCCATTGCCGCATCAATTGACAAGCAATGCTCACTTGCACCTATATCCATAGGACTTGCAATGTTCTGTGAAGAATGCATAGAATGCCTTGATATGTCATCTGAGCTACCTTCTCTCACCGCCTCTGCTCCTCTTTCAATTAAGATTGCATCTTGGATCTCTTTGATAACTTCCGACATCGATGGCCTCATATGACCGTGTGGTTGGACACACATCAAAGCTTTCTCGGCTATCTTCCACATTGTTTGATTGTCGTATACACCATGTAGGGACGGATCAACAATTCCTTGAATGTCCCCACTCTGAATGTGTAATTTTGCCTGCGATACAATCATTATTTAAAAGTTGATAACAATTAATCAAAATTACATGAGAAATGAAAAGTACCACCCGGGGAGGAGGGAGCTTGAGAATTTAAAAAAAAAACGACGACGGAAAGTGTAGACTCCTCTTTCCTAATGTTTTACCCATCAGTTTGATTATTAGGGTTCTTTTTTTATATAAAGACCCAGAAAAAAGAAAAAGAAAAACATGACGTATGACAGTGATAATCTGAACCTCAACAGCATAAACAGCAGGAAATTAATATTTTGAACCGAGAATCAATTCCATAAAATGATATACATATATATATATATAAACATAAAAAATCATGTTTTAATTAGCTGAAGGATGGACCACAGTAAAGAAATTGGTGGGAAATGACTTGTTCAAAATTTAAGATATATACTTGGCCCTCAAATTTGAAAAGTTCGTCCGTGGTAGGAAGTAGGCTTACCCATTGGACTATGTTGCGGCAGTTGGCACCAAAACTTTCATTAGATATTGCTTCGTGGCCAGATATTAGCTCAAGAAGAATAACACCAAAACTATAAACGTCACTCTTCTCGGTTAACTGCTGGGAGATATAGTACCTGCATATCATGAGAGAAAAAACAAAAATAAACTTGCAATGTGATACAGAAAACAAGGAAAATAAATCAAAGATAAATCAGAGAAGATCCCATAATGCAGTCATCTGAATGCACCCTTTTTAAGTCACCACTAAATTACTCAAAGCTGGCAAAAGCACACATCCAAATTGATTAGAAATTACACTACATAATTAACCCTAGGTTCTCATTGTTTTTACACAAGCTTGTTCTTTTTGTGGAAACAGGACATGGAGAGAAAAATGGCTAGAAGAGTGCTTTCATAATTTATGAGAAACAAATACTTCTATTCGAATTCAATCTCATTTGAAGGAATAAATTACCATTGAGAATAAGCCATTAGAAACAGTGGACCCGCGAATGACTCATTTTGAAGGAGTATGAAAACAAATGGACTCATTTTAACACTACTAGACACAATGAACTTACTCCTGCCATTTGCAAAAAGGGAGGTGCAGGGTTCAACTCCTGGTGGAGACACTGGTGTTTTTTCATACTTACTAAAAGGAAAAAAATGAACTAATTCTTATATACATAATATATATATATATATATATATATATACACTTACAAAAAATATATATAATATATTACACCAGAGAATGATCCAAAATTTTGAGGACATCCAGTGAAAAGATTCCAGTAAAAAGTGTCTAAATTGCTAATCAGACTATAGATCAATGAACTCCTATTGGCCTATCAGAGCGCAGTGCATTGATTAAAGGAGTTATAAAAACATTATATTGACATTTAAGACTTCAGTAGAAGTAACTAATTGCTTTAGTTGCACTAGAAATTCCACTCACAAAAGGGGTCAGACAGCCTAGACAACCACACGGTACCACATCCAGAATCCAGATAATACAGAGTAACACTGTTTCCAGCACGTATGACCAGGGATCTCAAAGAACTAACCATGTAGTGCAAGTACACATCATTAACTGGGACTTTATCATGTATATTAAAATCTGAGATTCGAAACAAAAGTCCAATGGAGTAGTCATTTTATAGACTCATTACGGACTAAAATAGAATAATTATTTGGTAGAGCATGAGTCGTCGTAAATTTACTTAAAATTAGGGAAATTATGCATGGGAGTAGTTGATAAGTGCCTTTCTCTTTGAAGCGAAAATATACTGTAAGAAGTGCCAAAGAGGCGCAATCCATGTAACACATAACACATACAAACATATCTACCCCAAGTATAGAAAGAAAAAAAAAATCCAAAGCATCACTAAAATCCAAAAATGACCAAAAGGGAGAATTCACTTTCCGTATTACCCAACTGAAAAGGTTACCAAGAAGAATTGACTTATGAATTGTCTCCCCACCACCCCTTCAAATGATTGCCAATTCCTCTCTCTCCAAATATACCACATCAAACAAAAGAGGCATGGCATTTGACTCCTTTTACCTTTTCTCAAATCTAGTACCTCTCCTACTATTAAAAAGGTCTACCACTGATTTGGGAAACACCCATGCCCTTGCCAAAAAAAGTACCATACATCTGGAGTTGCCTTCAAAATGAATAACATTATAGTCCACCAAGTCCCTGGCGCTCTACACATACAGCATTCACTGGGAAGAATTATTCCTACTAGCTAGATTACTTGCTGTGAGGAATTTCCATGAGCCACCAACCACTCAAAAACTCCCACCACAGAAGGTAATTTAGAAGATCTCATATGCCCTTCCAAAGAAGAGGAACTCAGAAGTGACACTCAACACATCCATACAAGAATTAGGCTCAGTTTGGTAGAGTGGAAATGGGAGGAAAGGGAAGGGAAGGTGATGGAGAGTGATTAAAAAATTGTGTTTGGGTAAAATTGGTGGAAGGAAAGGAAAGGAGAGAGAAGGGTTTGGAGGGTTAACACAAGGCTTCAACAGTAGATTTCTTAACCTTCCAAAAATGGGCGGAAATGGAAAGAAAGGGAAGGAGAGGCTTGGTTAGTGATTTTTGATGCCAAACTTGCCCTTGATTACACACAAAACCCATACCTACAAGTTAGCAGTTGCAGAGAGAGAGGGGGCCAAGCTTGAGGTTTTGATTTTCTGAACAATCTGAAATTTTCTGAACAGCGGCGATGGAACCCGGACTGGGTTTTGAACTTTAGATTCTTGCAGACAGATGTGGGTTTTGAACTTCTGATGGTTTCGCGGAGAGAGAGAGAGAGGGAGGGCAAGTTCTGAGTTGAAAACGAGAATAGAGATGGAGCGAGATGAGGCTGAAATGATTTGCCCTTTTTTTTTTTTTTTCTTTTCTTGTGGCCATAGGAGACTATAAGACTATATATATATATATATATATAATAGAGATGGAGGTGAGATGAGGCTGAAATGATTTACTCTTTTTTTTTTTTTTTTCCTTTCTTGTGGCCATAGGAGACTATATATATATATATCATAGAGATGGAGGCGAGATGAGGCTGAAATGATTTGCCCTATTTTTTTCTTTTCTTTTCTTGTGGCCATAGGAGACTATATATATATCTTTGAAAGTATAAAAGGGTATAATAGTCAATTTATTAAAATAATTCTCTTTTCTTTCTTTCCCTTCCTTTTCCCAAACATGATTATTACCCTTCCCTTTCTTTTCCTTCATTAATCAACCAAACACAATACAAAATTAAAATTATCCTTCCCTTCCCTTCCCTTTCCCTCATAACTAATATTATCCTTCCCCTTCAAACCCACCCTACCAAACATACCCTTAGAGAGCTCAATCACTGCCCCAAGCTCCCAGTCACGAACTTACCTCCTAAACCATCCCACTGTCAGTATTTCTACGGTAGCAAAACAAAATTGCTACCTCATCCATCTTATATAAATTACAATAATCATCCCCTAAAGAAACATCAATGCACCATCGAACCCCAAGGGGTTGACTCAGGTGGGTAAGAACTTGGCTCTTGTGTCTCAGGAAACATCAAGTCTAAAGTTCAAATCCCCTTGGGTGAAAACAATTCCTTGGGGGGGGGGGGGGGGGGGCGCCAACTAGAGGGAAAAAAAACCATCACTGCACCGTCTATTATGTCAAAATCACACCAAATTACCTATTCTAGTAAGAGGCATTCAGTTTTGAATTCTCTCTCACCTTCCCCACCCGTCCAAAGAAAAAAGGGGTTGATGTCTTCCACCTTTTTGGCACTGACAGTGGGATGGTGATAATGGACATAGAGTTGGGTGTGATCATCATACCAACACCAATGCACCAGGCCCCATCAGAACTCTGCATCTAAGCATGCTTGGGAGAGAGTAGTACTAGGATGGATGACCCCTAGGAAGTCCTTGTGTTGCCCCCTTTTTGTCCAGTTTTTTAATTATCGAAGAAAAAAAGATAATGGACATAAGAGTATAAAAGGACCCTTGTCAAATCAGAGTTAACCTACTACCCATCCATAGATATTGTTTTTCCCACCCAGCAAATCTTCTTTCAAATGTTTCCACAACAAAGTCCAACACAACTTCACCTTTCAAGTACAAAGTCAACTTAAGATGTTAGAACATGATGAAAGTCATGATAGAATCCACTGGCTCCAAAAGCCCAAGACTCAAAACAGGAAAACAATCTTAGCTGAAATACAAGGTAACAGAACTTCGACACAACAATCCTGCAACAATCCTGTCATGATGAATGACCTAACCCTAATTGAATTATATTCTTTATAAGCATAGTTTCTTATCATATTTTTGGTAATGGATACTTATAAAAAAAATTATTTTTGGTAATGGATATTAGCGTGCAAAAGCTCGTGGTTTCTAACTCAAATGAGAGTTACAGATATAGACCATGTGTTCCTGGTACACTTTTATCCTACAAATCTAAATAACTGTCCCTAGAAGTAGCTAGAACAAAAAGAAGATCCACAACAATACTGGTTCACCAAAGATTCACTAAAAAATAATATCAGCATCAGGAACAAACAAAATTTTAAATTTTATTGCAACATGCTCTTTAATTCAATCACAACCAGAAAACGAGGAAAATTGTAAATGTATAAAGAAGGGCCTTACTCGGGATCCAGATACCCAACAGTGCCTCGAACTATGCTTGACACATGGGAGGCTCCATCTACTGCAAGTTTTGAGAGACCAAAATCTGAAACCTTTGCTCTCAAGTTTCTGTCAAGTAGTATATTGCTAGTCTTTAAATCCCTATGGATGATGGATGGAACACAGCCTGTATGAAGGTACTCAATCCCTGAAACAAAATTGAGAGCAAAAGAATCCAACTAAATCCTCTGAAGTAAGAATTTTTTTTTTCTTAACGGATCCCTCCACCCACACACCCACAGAGAGAGGAGAAAGGGAGAAAAAAAATCATTGGTAGGCTTACAAACCTTTTGCAGCATCTTCAGCAATCTCAAGGCGCTTGATCCAACTGATACTTCGCTCACGTGTTAAGGGTCCTACCAAGATTTATATAATTGTAAGCAAAGACCAAACTGAATTCCTTTCAGCTCTGAAAAGGAGAAAAAAGGGAAAACAGCTTACCATAAAGATGTTCCTTGAGAGTTCCATTATGCATGAACTCATAAACAAGGATACTTTTTCCTTCTTCTTGACAATACCCAAGAAATTGTACCAGGTTTCTGTGATGTATCCTTGAAAGAAGACTCACCTGGGTGAAATAGAAGTATATCTCAGTTCAGAAGGACTAGCTTTCCTAAATGTAAGTACAAGAAATTCCATCTGATACAGCAGTAACCTTAATCACATTGTTAAGAAAAGTGAAATATTTATAATACTATGAAGTAGAAGATTTACACTTGCTTGCTTTGATAATATTACTTCTTTCAGAAAACGGGGCCATAAATTTTAAAGCCAGAACAGTGTTTCCACATGAACTCCAACATACCCAAGTAACAGTTTAAACTAAATTTATTCCTTTTGTGGAGACACTATATTGTGGGGCTGTCCTAGAATCAACTACGTCAACTAGACCAACTATGCCTAAATATTTGTGCTTCCTCCTTTAGCAACGTTATTATTAGATACTCATAGGTTTCTAAATAATAAAAGGGTCCATATATTAGAAGTACTCACTCAGTCACACGGAACATTTTTAATTGTTAATATTGCCCCCCACCCCAACAAATTAATTGAATTTCCAGAAGCCCATAACATGAGGATTTTGACCTTTGATGTCCAGAAGTTAAAATAGAATGGTGGAAGACTGGAAGTTAGTTGTTACAGCTTTATTTAGTTTTTGAGAATAATTTACATTTGAATGCATGACAATTATGGAACAAGTGCCAAAAGAGGTATACTTAAGGAACCTAAACATTGAATAATATTCCATATTGCTTTAAGATAAATAAAACAACTTTATAAAAAATTGAAATTAAGATCCACTATGCAAATTTTTATCGTTTGGGAAAATCACACAAATTAATGATGATAAACCAATGAGTTGGGAATAAGTGATCAGATCTAACATATTCCCCCACGCAGAACTGTAAATCCTAGAACCCCAGACAAGTGCAACTCAAGCCAACGAACAAATTGAAGTCGAACCAAAAATACATTCACCACTCCCTGATTAACCCAGGTTAGATCTATATAACAAAGCACATGCCATCATATAAGCAACCATGCAAATGTGCAAGTGCACAAGGGGCTGTGTGTGAGAGAAAGAGAAGGGAAAAAATCATGGTATTTTACCAAATCATTTCCACTCTTGAGCCCTGAATTCATTCTAAACAGTTACACTGTTTGTAAGGCACTCTCTCTCTCTCTCTCTCTCTTCCTTATAGTTCAATATGTCAAAAGACTTATAAAATGAGATGGCATGGTAGCATTTGTCTTCAATGTTTCTTTCTTTCTTTCAAGTTTGAATGTTTATTATCCTATTAGATAACTCTAGAAGTTTTGAGAAATATACCCACTCATTCAGTTTCCAAATACTTATTTTTCTTAGTGAGACTTCCCCCCAAGAGGATTAACATAGGCATAGGGAGTATGTAGTGATGTGTTTAGCCCCCATACGACAACCCCAAGAGTATGAAATGCAGGTTGGCTAGTTTACCCACTTTCCAATTGTAAGAGTCTATGAGAAGGTTGGCAGAACACCCTTCAACAACTGCAATGACCAGCCCAAATGGAACTTTTCTTATTTATTCTAAATAGTTAGGTAACAACATAGGTCATAGGTGGAATTTAACCAAACATTGAACCCTATAGTGATGCCACGTGCATGTTTCTTCCTGCAAATTGTGTTGTGCCTCTTCTTGAACATTCAAAATAATTTCCTGTTTGTAGTTTTCGTACCATAATTTCTGGGTTACTTAATGCTTCAACAGTTGGGAATGATACTTTGATATGAATGGATTTCCTTTTGTTTTCCTCCAGTTTTATAGTCATTTAAAACTAGTCTCATGCTCTATTTTATGTTTCAATTTTATCATTAAGATAATCTGGAATCAACAATAGTTGTACCAAAAATATAACACAGACAATTATGACCCTCGAAAAGCATGGAAAAAAATTAGCATCTACCAAAAGAAGTAACAAGTAAATTTACCTCATTCGAAAATTCCCGCTTCCCCTGGAAGGAATTACTGGTGAGGACTTTGACCGCTATCTCCTTTCCATCTTTCAATTTCCCATAGTATACAACTCCAAAGCCTCCTGAGCCAACTTTTTTCTCAAAATTACTCGTAGCATCTTCAATTTCAGATACTGAGAAGCAATGTGCAGCTTCATTGGCAGCATCACCCAGGGAAGAAACTAACCTTTGAGCAGAAACAGCATGCCCAAGCTTGTCTGTAACAAAGCAAAACAAAATCCATGTCAAGCCAACTAAGTTTTCAGTACCAAATGACAAATTAATATTTTAAAAACTCAGACCTTGCTTAGGATATTTCTTCTTTCCTTTGTGCATTAATATACAAGAGCCAATAGTAGCTATAAGCAGAACAGCAGCTCCAACTGATGATCCAATTATAATTTTATTCTGGCTCACTTTGTTGTGCTTTTTGTGAAGATTAGCATTTCCAGTGTAGCTGAGGAGAACGGCAGTAAAAAAAAAAAAAAATTACACGTAAATATTTTTGAGGTATTAGACCTACAGAAAAGAAGATACTGAGAGGGAAAGTGAGATGGAGAATTTGGGAAAAACATTGCAGGATCCGTCATCCCATTCAAAGTCAGACAACCAGCAAAGCAAGTCAAATTTAAGATATTTTGATGCACAGCCAGTGTTAGTAGGTTAAAGCATCTATTGACATTGTTGGAAATCTTATCTATAAATTGACTCAACGATTATGGCAGATTTATTGGGTCTTCAATATAGGCTAATTTTTAGGGATTTTATTTTTATTCTGATTTGATTTGATTTGATTTTATTCTCTTTATTTTGATTTTATTTTATTCTCTTTTCCATATTTATAATTTTCCGCTTGTATATAATGATAGTCAGGCTCTCAAATTGAGAACGCCAATTTTACCAAGTTACTTTTTGGTATCAGAGCCTCAAACCTACGCCTCCCCCATCTCTCTCTCTTTCACCGCCTCTTTTAATATCTCTCTCTATCTCGTACAGCCCCTTCCCTATTTTTTTTTCACAGACCTTCTCTCTTTTCAGGTCGCTGTTGCGACAGTCCTAGGGAGAGTCAATCTCCTCTAGGTTCGACCCCTGTAGGGGTATTCCCTTAGTCTTTTTCATGCACTAAGGGTCAGAAGACGTGTTTGTAATTTTTTGGGGCTGTCGGAATATTCGGCAGCATTTTCGGATCAGACCACCGTGTCTCCGGCTTCTTGGTATGATCAAAATCAGCTTTATTCCTCCTTTATTTGAAATTATTGGTAATCTATTGAATTGATCTATTTAATATTATGGCTGAATCAAGTAATAATAAAGAAACTCTTTTTTCGGCGCAACACACACCGCCTCAACGAGTTACTAGTGTGCTGTTGAATGGCCGTAATTTTGCATCCTGGGCTCGTTCCCTCCGCCTCTATGTTGGTGGAAAAGGCAAATCAGGGTGGATTTTGGGTACTGAAAATAGGCCAGATATTAAAGATCCTAAATATGCTCAGTGGGATTTGGACAATTACACCATTTTAGGATGGATGTTTAATTCTATGGAGGAACGAATTTATAATATATTCATGTTTTATGACTCTTTAAATGACTTGTGGACTGCTTTGAATTAAATGTATGCTCATTCTAGGAATGATGCTCGTATTTTTGAATTATATCAAGATATTGCTAAGGCCTCGCAGGAAGGCCTGAATTTGTCTGTAACTGATTATTTTGGGTATTTGAGATCTCGTTGGGAGGAACTAACTCAATATAAGCCTCTCAGTGAATTTCCTTCTGAGGCAGCCTCTCTTCCTGTCAAACGTCTTGATCGTCAGCATACCTATCAGTTTTTTATGGGATTACGCCCAGAATTTGAACCACTAAAATCTCAGATCTTGAATGCATCACCAATGCCATCCCTATTGGAAGCCTTTGCTACTGTTGATGGTGAAGCACGCAGGCACTGTTTAATTCGGCCCTCAATTGTTCCTGTACCAGTGCCTGAGCCTGCTGGGGATAGTATGGCTTTTGCAGCCAACTTTGGATCACGAGCTTCTGGAGGTCAGATTATTTGTCACCATTGTGGAGGGGTTGGACATGGTAAGGCTCGTTGCTTCAAACTTCATCCTGAACTGAAGCAAAAATTTTCTAGGAACCGTTTATCTGGAACTGGTTCTTCTCGTACTGCGGCTGTTGCAGAAACTCCTGTTACTACTGGTGGATCTACTTTATTTCCTAGACTGAGCCAGCTTCAGTCTCAGATTGAGCATATCCAAGACCAGCTTGGCTCCCTTGCTTCTAGAGTTAGTGCTCCTTCAACTGCTCCCACTGCAACTATTGCTACAGGTACTCCTACTGCATTTCATGTTAAGGCCAAGCAGCCCACTTGGGTTCTAGATTCTGGGGCCAATGATCACATGACTAGTGAGTTATCAACTTTTTCTTCTAATGTCATACCTGTTACCCAATCTGTGTATCTTACGGATGGCTCTACATCTTACATTCACAATAAGGGTGATGTTTGTCTGTCTCCTGATATTACTCTTTCATCTGTCCTTCATGTACCTAAATTTGCCTTTAACCTTTTATCTGTTAGCCGGCTTGCAAAAAACCTCCAATGTGCAGTTATATTCTTACCAGATCACTGTTTGTTGCAGGACCTTTGTTCGAAGAGGATTTTTGGCAGGGTTTATGAGCGTGATGGGCTTTACTACTTTGGGGAACCACCAGGAACGAGTCTTCAAGCTTCTGTCCTACCTTCTTCTAGTGTTTATGATGTTTCTTTTCGCACTTTTAGTCTGTGGCATGCACGTTTGGGGCATGTAAACTTTCAATATCTATGTTTATTGTTTCCTTCATTAAATAAAGCATGTAAGGACCATAAGTTTCAATGTGAAGTTTGTGAGCTTTCTAAACATACTAGAACTAGCTATATTTCTCATATGAGTCGTGCTCCTAATATGTTTGATCTTATTCATTCTGATGTCCGGGGCCCTTCCCCAGTTACTACTTTCTCTGGACATCGATATTATGTGACATTTATTGATGATTATTCTCGTTGTACTTGGGTTTATTTATTGAAAAAGAAATCCAATGTGTTTCTTTTATTTATCCAGTTTCTTCAAATGATCAAAACCCAGTATAACACTGTTGTCCGTAATATTCGTTCTGATAATGGACGAGAATATGTTTCAAATGAGTTCCGATCTGAACTTAATAAAAACGGGATTTTACATCAACTCACTTGCCCCTATACTCCTGAGCAAAATGGAGTGGCTGAACGCAAAAACCGTCATCTTATGTCTGTGGTCCGATGTCTTCTGAGTGGTATGCATGTGCCTAAATTCTATTGGCATATGGCTGTTCTTACAGCTGCTTTTCTGATTAATTGTACTCCCAGTTGAGTTTTGGCTGGTAAGGCACCACTTCAGATTCTCCAGCCTGATTATACATTGTTTCACCTTCTGCCTCATGTTTTTGGCTGTACTTGTTTTGTTCATAACCATAGTCCTTCTCGTCATAAACTTGATGATATATCTATTAGGTGTATTTTCGTGGGGTATTCTGCTATGTCAAAGGGCTATCGTTGTTATGATCCTGTAACCAAACATATGTATCATTCTCTTGATGTGACATTTCATGAAACTGTTCCTTTTTATAGTACTAATTCTGTGGTACAGGATTCTCTCTCTTATGATCTGGAGGAGATTTCTCCTATTGCCCGTCCTGTTCCTCTCTTTGAAAATCACACTGTCCTGGAATCTCCTTCTCCATCCATGCAGGGTTCCCCTCCACCTTTGCAGGTCTACTCTCGTCGCCATCACACTCAACCTCCCCTGCCAGAATCATCTTCAGAACCAGGTCCAGGTAACTCTCCTTCTCCTATTGCTCCTACAATTCCTGAGCGTACCTCCCGTTATCCTACCCGTGATCGTCATCCTCCTAATTGGTATGGTTTTTCTAGTAGCACTAACCATCCTATTTCCCAGTATGTCTCCTATGATGGTCTTTCAGGTGCATATAAATCCTTCCTGGGCAAGATTGGGACCGTTTCTATTCCTCGATCTGTGTCAGAAGCCCTCCAGGATCCCAATTGGGTGTCTGCCATGACAACAGAAATGGATGCTTTACACCATAATAATACATGGGAACTTGTTGCTTTACCTTCTGGGGAGAAAACGGTTGGCTGCAAATGGGTCTTTAATGTGAAGTACTTAGCCGATGGTTCTATTGATCGGTATAAGGCTCAGTTGGTGGCAAAAGGCTTTACTCAGATTCCAGGCAAAGACTTTAGTGCTACCTTTGCTCCTGTGGCTAAGTTGACGTCTGTGCGACTGCTTGTCTCCTTGTCTGCTGCCCATTCTTGGCCTCTGCATCAGTTAGATGTCAAGAATGCATTTCTTAATGGAGACTTACTTGAGACTATATATATGGATCCACCCCCTGGATTTCGGGCTGAGGGGGAGTATGCTGGGAAAGTTTGTAGGCTACGGAAGTCTCTCTATGGTCTGAAGCAATCTCCTAGAGCTTGGTTTAGTCGTTTTAGCAATGTTGTTTTATCCATGGGCTTTGTGCGCTGCCACTCAGACCATACTTGTTTTATTCGACGTCGCTCTGATAGTCATTGCATTATGTTATTGGTATATGTGGATGATATCATTATCACAGGTGATGATGCTTCAGGGATTGTTCAGGCGAAACTTCATCTTCAAAAGTCCTTTGATGTGAAGGACTTAGGTCCTCTTCGATATTTTCTTGGAATTGAGGTTGCTAGATCCCGTCGTGGAATTTCTTTATCTCAAAGAAAATATGTTTTGGATCTTCTTCAAGATACTGGCATGCTTGGGTGTCGACCCGCTTCCACTCCTATGGACCCCAATCTTAAACTCTCTGTTGAGTCAGGGGAATTACTTCCAGATCCATCCGTGTATCAACGTTTAGTAGGTCGTCTTATCTACTTGACTAACACAAGGCCCAATTTGACATTTACTGTCAGTGTGATTAGTCAATTCATGCATGCCCCTCGCTCAGCTCATATGGATGCAGTCTACCATATTTTAAGGTACCTTAAGTCTTGCCCTGGTCTTGGTCTGTTCTATGCCTCAGGAAATCAGTCTGGACTCTCATGCTTTACTGATGCAGACTATGTTGGATGTAAGACAGATAGACGTTCTACCTCTGGCTTCTGTACTTTCTATGGTAATCATCTCATATCATGGAAGAGTAAGAAGCAGGCTGTTGTTTCTAGATCCTCTGCTGAAGCTGAATACCGAGCTATGGCTCAAGGTACTTGTGAGCTCCTTTGGCTTCAATCAATTTTGGGAGAGTTGGGTCTTGTACAGAAAGGTTCTTCAAGGCTGTTTTGTGACAATAAATCAGCCATTATGCTTGCTTCTGATTCTGTTTTACATGAAAGGTCGAAACATATTGAGGTAGACATTCACTTTATTCGAGAGAAGGTTCGATCGGGTATCATTAATCCTATTGTTGTTCCTTCTTCAGAAAAGACTGCAGATGTGTTCACAAAGTCTGTTGGGCCTTCTCTTCTCCAGTCTTCCATCGTCAAGCTGGGCTTAGTCAACATATTTGCTCCAGCTTGAGGGGGAGTGTTGGAAATCTTATCTATAAGTTGACTCAACGATTATGGCAGATTTATTGGGTCTTCAATATAGGCTAATTTTTAGGGATTTTATTTTTATTCTGATTTGATTTTATTTTATTTTATTCTCTTTATTTTGATTTTATTTTATTCTCTTTTCCATATTTGTAATTTTCCGCTTGTATATAATGATAGTCAGGCTCTCAAATTGAGAACGCCAAATTTACCAAGTAACTTTTGACATATACTTCATGTGCAAGAAATAAGAATATGAGCACCAGCCTTACAATCAGTTTACCCTGCACATCTGGAAGAGCTGATTTGCTCATCAGTTCGTTTGTATTTCATAATGTATTATATTAAAAATTAAAATTGTAAAGGGATTACAAATTTATAACTGCAATACTTCATCATCCCATGATACATTATAACTGAGAAGGTCAATTTGATCAGCCAGATCATATTGCAGTTTATTTAAGTTGTCCCAACAACTCAACTAGTCTGGCAAAGCAACATAAAAATATACATGCACAAATTTTAATATTAATTTACTAATATTTAAAATAAGCAAATTTTAAAAAGTAAATTACACTGATCACTCCTAAGGTCTGCCTTAATTACACACGCATAAAAGATGCATTTATTACACTGCCCCCTGTCCGGCATTTGTCACATAGCCGCAGTCATAAATGGCTGAAGGTAAAATTACCCATTTAATCCTGCATTATTATATTACATATTGAAGAGAAAGCACATGTCATTCAAAGTTAAATGACTACCTTACCCTCCATAGTAAATGCCCCACACCCACCCCCCCCCCCCCCCCCACCCCCCCCCCCAAAAAAAAAAAAAAAGATCTCTCACTACCACCTCTTCTCCACCCATTTACCACTTACTCCATCACTTCTCAACCTATCTAACCCCTGCCCCTAGCTTTTTATCTGCCCCAAAACAAAAAGAAAAGGCTTAAGAATTGAAGTCTTGATCTTAAGAAGTTGAAATATTGTTCTCATGATTTCTATGTATTCTTCCTTGTAAAGATCAGTGGTTGATTGGTCTAGACACATATTGCGGTTAACTTAGGAATTGAAGCTTTGATACATGGAAAATTATTGTATGACACCATCTGTTACCTAAAAGAAAAGAAAAATTATAAAACATAAATCAAACCCATATGTCTGATCCTTCTGCGAATGGTGGATACAAGTCCTATGCATTCAACAAGCAAATATCTCATGAAACTGAGTAGAGAACAACATATGATCCTTTAATATGTATGTATATATGTGCGTGCACCATATTCATGTATGTACATATATATATATATATATATATATATATACATATTTCAAATTCTTTTTCTCTCTTTGTGATTCTATCTTCTCTTAAATTTGGATTCAGTTTGGTCCAAGACCACTCGCCCACCAAACTCTCAAAATCCCACCTCAACCTCAAATCAGTCATTTCCGCATATTGCGTATCCGAACCTATAAACCTAGATTTGTCCACAGGGATCTCTGATAACCCATTTCAAAATCTTCCCCTCCTCACCCGCATCGTCACTGCCCTCTTTTTCTCCCCAATGCCTGCGATCATGCTGCCTCCTATGTTTCTTCCTCTGCAATGCCCAGAATGCTCATGACCACGACCCATTATGACCACTCAACAAGCTTTCATAGTAAAATAGAGTTTTAGAGAGAGAAATTACAGAGTGAGCTTTGAAGGGATAAAGTTCAAATGGGCTTGAGCCAGAGGTAAAAAGAGAAGGCGGAGAGAAAAGAAGAATATATATGGCATTAACGGGTGGTGACTGGTCTGAGAGGGAGAGGGGAAAGAACAGAGAGGTTGAGGGGGAGCACTTAATATTCTAATGCAAGTTAAATTTATGCTTTACGTATATTTAATATGCTGGACTTGGGAGCATAGTTAGTAAAATACAGGAAAAAGACAGTTTCGGAAACATAGAGTATAATTTGATATTTTTAATTAAACAAAAAAAAAGTTACAAAAAATTGGCCAAAGAAACGGAAACGTAAAGATACGAATACGTACATGTGTAATACATCGTATGGGTAAATTGGCTATACACATGTTATTTATTTTCTTATATGTCATATCTAAAACAATAAAAGAAGATGCAAAAAATAATAAAATAAATTCTTATTTCATGCAAATTGGTATTGTCCTAATAATTATGGAATATCACTAAAAGATCTATAAACTTCCAAAATAATTAAAAGATCTCAGTATGTGTATATATATATATAGAAAGAGAGAGAGGAATCTACAGGCATACTAAAAAGTTCCAAACAACCCACTAAAAAGTGTGTGTATAGTGCTATACAATTGTATGCCATTAAGTTAAGTTCATAAAATTCCATTACTTGATCAAACACTACTGATCCTATCAAGACAACGGGCTTAGAAAAAGAGAGAGAGAGAGAGATAACATGTCTTCCCTCAGTCGATGCCACTGTAATGTCATGCCTTCAATGCTAATTGCACAGCGGGTCCAGAAAGAGTGAAAGAACATGGCGATTCAAAGCAAAAGACAGTAGTTTACACCTTCAAAATGTGTGTTTGAGCAAAATATGAAATTAGAATTGCAAAGGGAAATGAGTTGAAAGCGAATAAAACTCTTTGATTCGTCCACCGTATAAGAGGTGACCGTTTAATTTGCCTTATATCTCAACCCATTTTTCTTTTCCATTTGCAATTTTAATTTTATATTTGCTCCAACTCAAATCCTTTTTTCCTTTCCATTTGCAATCTGAAGGCATAAATATCGTATTTTGCTTCGATGTCTCTGATTTTTTTTTTTTTTTTATAATCTTGTTGTCTTGATCAAGTAATGGAATTTTATAAATTTATGATGGCATAAAACTGTATAGCAATATAAGTATACACTTTGTGGTTACGGGTTGTTTGGAACTTTGGAGGATGACAGTAGATTCTTATAAATTTATATATATATATATACCTTGTGGTTATGGGCTGTTTGGAACTTTGGAGGATTACAGCAAATTCTTATAGATTTTTAAATATATATATATATATATATTTGGAAGTTTATAGATTTTTTTAGTGATATTCTATCGTTATTGTAACAATATCAATTTCGAGATTTATTTTACTTTTGTTACATTTTCTTTTCTTTTTTTTATCCTCCTATGTTTCCTAATCTGTCTTTTTTCCATAACGCATTTTGCTAACTATGCAGTCCTTTTAGCAAATCAGAGGGCATTTTTTACATTAAAGTAAAATTGCATTAACCTTATATGACAGGCCTAGTAACAGCAGGAGGAAATCTGAGAGTCAATGAAACTACAAGGGAGATTGACCGCAATAAATTGATAGCTTCTATTAATGCATAACTCATGTAGGTCAGCTTAATTTATTGTAAATTTAAAGACATTTATCTATACTTCCATCTACAGACACAAACGTATATAAAAAATCTCTACATTCTCCAATATCTTGTGCCATTGCAGCGAGTCAGCAAATGGCAACAAATTTGAACCAATACCATGTCAGTTTGGATAATTTTCGAGTAAGATTTTTCAGCATAAAAGTTTGAAGATCAATTATAATAGTGAGTAGGTGTCTTTGCTATGTAACTCCAAAATGCAGGCTGGCCGCTGCTTTGGCTGTTTACAAGCTTTAGACAATTACACTATACTCAATGTAAAAGGCATATATATTTTAAGATGTTAGCATGTGAAAATGATTTCCACTGGATTATAAAAACATAACAATCTCTCATGCACCCCAATTATACAGTAAAGAAATGATACCCACTTCAAGACCAAATTCTTGTCCAAAAGAGCTGATGACACTGTTCCAGACAACATATTATTCTGCACGTACCTGCAACCATTAGATTCATCAACCGAAATCCTTTTAGTCAAAAGCAACAAACTAAATGTCAATAGAGAACTAATAAAGAAGACAAAAAGAGAAACCAAATAGATACAAAATCATGTACTCAATCTGTCCCAAAATAAATGTCATGCTTTCCTTTTTTGTTGTCCCAAAACAATAGTCCACTTTCCTTTTTCAAATAATATATTTCACATCTTTCATATATGTCCTTTGAGTTTAAAATTTCAAACTTGAATATTCAAAACTTAAAAGGGCAAGTTAGTAACTTTCCAGGGAGACAATGCATGTCCCACATGTCCCCTTAAAAATTACTACTCCCCATAAGCGACACTTAAATTGGGATGGAGGGAGTACTTGGCATTAATGATGACCGTCAGGGTGGTGCCCCAGCAGCCGATGGGGAAACAAGTGGGTTTTAGACTGTCATATCTTCTTCTTCTTTTTTTGTAAGAGAGATGGTCATATCCTTCGTTGTAACGACCCACTCCACCACATGGTATGATATTGTCCGCTTTGGGACTGAGCCCTCACGGTTTTGCTCTTGGGCTTCACCCCAAAAGGCCTCATACCAATTGAAGGTGACACACTTACATACAAGCACTTCACCTTTCCTCTACCCAGGCGATGTGGGACTGTGCACCCGTGACTCGCCAGTGTGGTAGCCTGACAGTGCCTCTCGCACCCGCCCACGGCACACCCGCCGCAAGGTCATCACAATCCACCCCCCTTGGAGGCCCGACGTCCTCGTCGGCACACTTCCGGCTGGGTCAGGCTCTGATACCATTTGTAACGACCCACTCCACTACATGGTATGATATTGTCCGCTTTGAACCTGAACCCGCACGGTTTTGCTCTTGAGCTTCACCCTAAAAGGCCTCATACCAATTGGAGATGATGCACTTACATATAAGCACTTCACCTTTCCTCTACCCAAGCGATGTGGCACTTGTGCACCTGTAGCTCGCCAGTGTGATAGCCTGACAGTGTCTCTTGCACCCGCCCACGGCACACCCGCCCACAAGGTCATCACAATCCACCCCCCTTGGAGGCCCGACGTCCTCGTCGGCACACTTCCGACTGGGTCAGGCTCTGATACCATATGTAACGACCCACTCCACCACATGATATGATATTGTCCGCTTTGGGCCTGAGCCCTCACGGTTTTGCTCTTAGGCTTCACCCCAAAAGGCCTCATACCAATTGGAGGTGACACACTTACATATAAGCACTTCACCTTTCCTATACCCAGGCGATGTGGGACTGTGCACCCGTAGCTCGCCAGTGTGGTAGCCTGACAGTGCCTCTCGCACCCGCCCACGGCACACCCGCCCGCAAGGTCATCACATTCGTGAGCGCTTAGGGGAAGGTGATCTGTGTGCTTTGAGGAGGAGGGAAGGGGAGCTGTCTATTTTACTAAAATATTTAGGGTCATTTTAGATCAAATAAATAATTCCAGTTCCTTCAATAATAAGTCATGGGGAAATCCCTCAAACTATCGTGCATTTATAGTAAATGACATTAAAGTTATGCAAACTTACAATTCCCTCAGATTTGGTAGATCCACCAACGAGGGAGGCAGTTCACCAGTCAATTGATTGTTCTCAAGATGACTACAAGAAACAAAAATATAGGTTAGCTCAAAATCTTTATACTTGCAATGAATAAAAGAAAAAAGCCATCTGAAATTACATGATCTTCAAGCCCATGCATCCAGAAAAATCTGGTATTGGACCGGTCAGTGAATTCCCATCGAGCCATCTTCATTCAAAAGACGAGTAAATGCTGGTTAGACAGGGGACTTTGGTATTTTCAGCATAAACAAGAGAACCTCCTTCAACAACTAGCAAATCGAAAAAGCAATTTTAAACTTACAATTCAACTAAGCCACTTAGCTTTGTCAAGTCCGAAGGGATATTCCCTGTCAAATTCTTCCCAGACAATTTACTGACAAATACCAGACACACAAAGATTTGATTAGAGCAGTGACATTTCTTTCCAGTTAATAAGAAACGGATTATACCTTAGAAAAAGAAGGAATATATAATTAAACGCACATACATATATATATATAGAGAGAGAGAGAGCAGTGTTATGGTGGAAGCTTGCCCCCATAGCCTTCCATAGATATGTTTACAGATTTACTTTCTTCTTTTCTTTTCTTTTTTCATATTGGACTTTCTGTTACTTCCATCTATATTTTACTTTCTAATTGTCAGTTTAGATAACGTTATGGAGTGTGTTTTGGCAACAATTCATAGTAGGTAGAAGTGTTATGCATCATTGTGTTATGTCAGTATATACTAACAAATTCGCCGAAATGCATAAAATAAAGGGTAACAAAAATAGCAAGTGTCATAACTATAAAAGCTCTAACATTGAAACATTAGTTTATAGCTCAAGTACACACATATGCAGTATGCACAATTATATCACAAAAGCATATAAATGAGAAAATGAAAAGGTAAGAATTATATAAACTCTGGTGCAATGTCCTACCACTGCATTTTTTTTTATATTACAAGACACAGAATCATGTAACCTCTAAAAAGCCACAAACTTTGTAGAAATTAAAAGGCTTGAGTAAAACAAAAAGGGGGAAACCTTTACATTGAAACTATTCTTGGTTGGGGATCTGAATTACACAGCACCCAAGACCATGGAACTGGCAGACATGGGTCACCCCCCTCTTGTGCCCAATCTGCTGATGAGTAAAGTGAGACCACTGTAGCAATAACAGATCCTGCAACTCAAGGAAACCTAGAATCAAATGTGCAACACAAACCTTTAAATATAATGGTTTGGATATTCCAATATTCATAATCAAGTTAACCACATTTAGGAAACTATGAATTCTGAATCAGGAAACTTATTCAGAGGAGCATGCTAAACTCAAAGAAGCAAAACCGTGCTTACCATCTAGGGAACCATCAATTTTCTTAACATACTTATTTATCTCCATTGCATTCAGAAGGGGCCCCAAGGTGGAATCAGATGTTCTCCCAAATCTAAAAGATAACACAAAGGGGAAGGATATGTTGGGAAATCCAGGTTCGTATAGTCGGTATTTTCCTTGAGCATTTTCTTCGATATTAACAGCAGGTTTGCTGAGATCAGGATTTCCTGGAAGTACTAGCCTGAATTTCCTGACCTCATTTGGTTTCAAATCTTCAATTTCTGCAAAGTAGGTGAATGCCCAACCAAAACCCGGAAAACCATCCAGGTTCAGGCGGTATGTTAATGATCCATTTCTGCCAACTACAGCTGTCTGCATCACTTTCTGAGGTGGTCTTTCACCCTTGCTAACATCAATTGGCATACGAGTTGACACTTTTTCCGTTCCGGCAGCAACATCAACAAGGTAATTTGCTTTCCTCACGGAGTCAGATTCCCATATTCTGTCGAATGGATCATCAGGATACCTGAGATGATTACACAGACAAATAAACAGTAATAAGTACTTTGATTTCTTAGGTTCCTTATATATATATATATATTTTTAAAAGATTTGTTTGTCCTTAGGGACCTTGTAAAATAACTTTTTCTTAATGCAACAAGTATGCAGGGAAAAAAATCATCCGTCAAGTGTATGCTGAACCTTTCCAAACAAAGAATTATTTTAAGTAACTTAATCTGTTTTTTTTTTTTCCTTCCCTATAAGGTTTTATTTCCCACTGCTAAAAGCATATAGATCAATTTAGTCCTGAGAGATCAAGAAATTTGAATTAGATATTCTGAGGCATACCTGACTGGAGCTTCACTATCTGCACCAAAATTTATTCTTGCGGACACGCTGAGATAGAACTGATTCTCAAATTGTGTGAGATAGATTGAACCATTAAACTGTCGAAGCTCAAGGGTAGAGAGAAACGGCTTCCCAGTTGTAGCATTGGATAAACACACACTAATTGTAGGATCTGAAGCCAGAAATATTAACTCTTGAACCTCTATTGTATCAGCATCTGAAATGGCAATTGTAGCCCAATGAGTTGGCCCAAGGGAAATGTCAAACTTTGGGTAAACATTATTGTTGTCAAAGTTACCGTACAAGAAGCTTGCTCTTACTAGGTACCTTGTCCTAGTGGTAACATTAAGTGTATAACAGTACTTCCTGTTATCAGCAGGAAAGTGTCTTAGTGTCATATATTGCTTCCTTGTCTCATTTGCAACAGAAATATTAGCTGTTTCCCCATACATAAAGCTATCATCGGGAGTCCACTGAAGACCAAGCTCATCGTTAAAATTCTCTTGACCTCCACAATCTAAACTTACGAAACCTGCTTAACATGATTAAAATTCATTATCAGCATTGGAGCAAATGTAAAGCATAATTGTCTCCTCTTATTTCAAGACTTCTTCTTTTTTATTATAAATAAACCTTTAGGTAGTATTCTCTTATTTCAATACTCTGGCATGCAACTTATAGTAAAACTTCAAAATCAACATCATGTGCAACTGACATCTTGCTTCCAGTATAAATCAAACATATAGTATAATTCAGGAAGAGAGAGAGAGAGAGTTTAACTATGTTCTATCAACAATTATTTTTGTCTTTTGATAGCTCATCAATCATTCCCAAGCTTAGTATTTAACACATGGAATTACTTCATTAGCACAGGGAAACTAGTAAGGAACATTTGCAAGGTGTCTCCGTGGTTGTGCTTTGTTAATGAGAATTACTATTTTTGCACAGTGCATCTGTTTCAAGTCAAGAGGCCAAGAGGGATGCTAACCTGGACACCCAACACTGAAGATCAGGGGCAGACTGGCCATAGGTTCGTTAATAGCTTGGTGCCTGGATCGACTACCAGAATTATTTCTCAATTTCGATCTAGTCAAGGCAATACGCCTACTTAGCTGGGTTGACTACCAGAGTCATGTTTCCAATTTCACTATAGTCGAGGGCTTAAGGCCACTTGTCCTCTAAATAAAGGGTATGCATTATATCTCTTCATAACGTTTCAATTATGAGCCTGATCAACATGACCAAAACATCTTAGGATATGTTCAAAGGAAAAAAAAGACAGATATGCTTAATAATGTAATTTCTTTACAGAATTCAATCAATTAGATATCTCTACATTACACTTCAATCTGACACATCTCTCTCCCAATTGGTTTACTTGTTGGCCTTTGCCACACATGACCAAACCATGTCAACTAACTTCTCATCGTGTCATATACTCATATTACCTTTAAGTTCTTACAAATTCCATATATTTTTATCAGTATCCATTTTACCATTCATATGCCTCCACTCATTTGGTGGGCAGCGTGCTTCTTGAGTGGCAAATATTATGTACACAAAGCATGCTTGGCATTGGACTTATCCTCTAAAGTTTCCTTGTGTGGTTTTAACACCATGAAATAATGTTAAATTTTGATAAAGTTCTAACATTTCAATAGTTTTTTAGTTTCAATTTTCAGCTATTTTGACTTTTTGAAATTTAAAGCACATACAAGAACTCGCCACTTGACCAAAAAATAAATCCAGAAGCTTGTGATATAATTTGAACTTTTGTTAGGGCTATAATTGACAATTTAACTAAAAATTTAAGAGTCAGAATCTTGATTAAATTGAATACATAATACATTCATGATTAACCTATGGGATTTTTCTCAAGGAGTGTGCTTTACCAAAGATACCAATCATATATGACATCATTCGCAGATTCTTGAGATTCAATATACAACTTATGCATGAATTATACAAGTGACCAGATTTTATAACACAATCTGCAATTTTATAATATTGGTTTCGAAAAAATGTCATATATCATGTGTAATGTCGTTAACGAAAGAGGCGGCTGCAGGAGAAAACCACTACTTGCCAATTATTAGTTAATAAACAATCCATCCTCGGATACATTGAACCATTTTCTCTTTTCTTTTCTTTTTTACTAATTTGGACACCTCATTTGAGCTTTAGTCTAAGAATTTCAACATGCGCACAACTCATCTTCCAGGAATTTGCAAGATGAAACTTCAATCCAGCAATTTACTTTCTAAATCAAAATCTGAAAGGAAAATTGGTTTGATTTGGGAGAAGCAAAATTGAACCCACCTATATAATCCATAAACATAGAACTAAAATTTTAGGTAATACTAAAAACAGAACAAATTGGATGAATTTTTGCAGCTTAGGTCCAAAAACCAGTTGTCAGCATAACAATATCGCAAGGAATCACCTAAAAGGAGTTTCCTTCATTTTTTTTTAGGTGGATTTGCTTCATAAAATTCATATGTATTTATATGAAAAGAATAAATAGAGAAATCAATTTTGATATAGAGATTAATGATAACTTATACATGAAAAAATTAAACAATAGTCCAATCTATAACAAAGTAAAGTTGAAGAACAAAGTATAACGCATTAAAACAAAAACAAAAGAAAACCAAGAACTGAATTGTGTAAATCACATACTCAAATCCCTCAATTCGCCACAGTAATGATTCATTATGGAGTACAATATTAAGAAAGAAAGAAAGAAAAAGTTGCAGAAAATAATATATATATATATATATAGAGAGAGAGAGAGAGAGAGAGAGGAAAAAAAACCTGGATTCTGAGCTGTTGTGACACCCAGGAAGAGAAGAACAGGGGGGAGAAGGAGAAAGAGAAACCTAGCCTCCATTTCTGTTCTTGTTGTATAATGAAAAAGAGTGACAGAGAAATGATAGCATATAAAAATGGTAGAGAAAAAGAAAGAACAGATAAAAAGTGACTGTCTTATAATATTAATTGGATGAAAAAAGAAAAGTAAAGCTGAAAGTTTGTTGAAATGGGAAATGGTAAAGTTGTAAATGCATATATATATCTATCTGTTTTGCCCACAAAAACAAAATTAAAGATACCTGGGTTGATTGGATTCTTTCAACTTTAGAGAGAGAAAGATATAAGGTTTAGAGAGAGAGAGTGGTGCCTGGTTGTGTTTTGGAGGGAGGGAAAGAGATCTGGATAGTGGAAGGAGTTAGTGTGGGACCCTCAATAAAATGGCAGTGTTAGGAGGTTGTGGAGTGTTTGGACTTGGAATGACGGAACTGCAAAGGACGAGATTCGCACACCAGAGACCTTGGTCCGGTCCCACCATTTCGTTCCAATTCAAGTGCGAGGGTGACTCTCCTTCGCATACGAAGAATTGTTGAGCCACGCGCGACATGAGAGGCCTGTGCACCAACTGTACTGTGTGTGACTTTGCGTGTGTGTAGATATATATTTTCTGGGGTAAAGTGCAAACAAAACCCCTCAAACTATACTCTCTCTACCAAAAAACCCCCTAAACTTTTATTTTTACAATTAACCACCTAAATTATTTTATTTTTTTGCAAAAAAGCTCTGACCGTCACTGTTCCGATGATATAGTACCGTTATGTTGCCATGTGTCAATCCATTTACTTACAAAGACATATTTGCCCTTTAAAAATACATGATCGCCACGTCATTAATTAAACAGTCCCTCTCATCTCTTTTACCTGGGATACAAAATAAGAAATAGTGAACCAGACACTGCCGGCATTAATCTATTCAGGCAGAGTAGACCAAAGCATGACACGATCAATTCGACTAAAGGTCCAGCGGATCTCATATTCTGATAAATTAAATATAATCGTTCAAACATCTCTCTGTATCTCAACTCTCATCTCTATCTACATGTCTCTAAAATTGCAGTACTTCCCATGTATCTTGCTTCCAATTTTTCTCTCTCAACCCTAATGGCTTGTTTCCACCACGTAGAGTAAAGGAGAGGAGCCCAATTCCTGGATCTTTTTCTCTAGAGTCGCAGCCATGGAAGAAGATGTCTCATACCCTAATCGCATCCCAACCATAAACTCAATCAATTTTCTCATCTGGGTTTCTGAAATTACTCTCCAAATTCCGATATTTTTGTGCCTAGGATTTTGTCATACCCCAAGTTGGTGAGTTGATTCGTCTAACAAAAAAACCATCAAAATTCAAACAAATTTCTCATTTGGGTCTCTCAGAATTGCTCCAAAATCTTCAATTCACGATGGGTCTTTCGTAGAGCTCTAATTGGTGATCCATAATATTATAATGGACGATCGAAAGGACGCTTTGGTGAGTCAACTGGGCGAGACAATAAGGGATATTTCTGGGCTACCCGAGTGCTGACACACCTCGAAGAAGATGTACAGTAATTTGGTTCGGAGAGTGAAGCTTTTAAGCGCTCTATTTGATGAATTGAATGTCGGCGATGATGAAGTTGGAGGAGTCGAATCATTCAGGGTTGCTTTGAATTCAACTAAAAAGCTTCTTCGATAACACTAACCCATCAAAGAAAATAAACCCAGACCACACCAACCAATCATCACCTCCAATTCTCGAAACAAACCTTTTTTGCCCCAAATCTTCAAACCCAACAACCATGGAAAACTCAATATTGCGCAGCCATCGGATTCTGAAGATTTATATAGAAATATTAGCCATGGATGCTTGGAGAGGCCAAGCAACAATGACAACAGTAAAATTCAGAGCTTCACTCCATCAATTTTTTAATTGAGGTTGATGGCTGCCGGAGGTTACAATTGGTCCGCCATATAATCAAATACCGGAGAAGGAGAGTGTACAGAGAGAGGGCTTAAACAGAGGGAGTTCGCTTTACAGGAAGAGGAGAGTGTATAGAGAGAGCGCGTATACAGAGGGAGTTGCACATATGGAGCTTTAACGAGGGAATGTCTATGATAAGATGATGTGTCACAATACTATTGGGTGTTGAGATTACAATTGACACGCCATGAACATCTGCTGCTAAAGAAATAAAACGTACTGCTCCATATGCTATAGGATAAATTGGTAATTTAACATATCCGGTGGCTCCGGTAAGGGAAAATTTTGGTTTTGTCCTTGGATTGCATATTTTAAAAAGTTCAGGGGTAATACTTAATTCAGGGGATTTTGTGCTTTTGGCTGATAGGTTGGGGGGGGGGGGGGGGGGGGGGGGTTTTGTTGCTCTTCACCCATATTTTCTGTATAAAATGTGTATGCAATTTATTACATTTTAAAAAAAATATTATATAATTTTAGTTGGTAGTGTGGATAACTACAGATCAAATGGATGGGTGCATTTGTTACCATGTGCATTCCAAAGAGCTTGTTCACTCTCCCTCTCGATAAATTGTATTCGGATGGACATGGAGTGTCATCGTTCTACTAGTTATTTTTAGTATTTTTATCCTGTGAATCTCACCATATTGAAAAATGATACTTTCGGAAGAGAGTACAAAAAATAAGAGACGCATGATACTTCACCTTAAATGCATTTAAGTGAAATTTGTTAGAGTCCATTCGCGAACATTTCTATTGGCCTAATTCAACTCTATCTCTTGGTGTTATGTATTTTGATCTATCAGATACGCGGCGTATCGGTTTATACATGACTCATTTTAAGTTCAACTAATTTATATTGATTTTGTCCGAATCCATTATATTACGATCGCAATCAATATTACAAAATAATATTTTGTTGGAGTGCCATTGTACCTAATTAATGTGTCCAATACATATTACGCCATGTAAACATGACTATCCAACTCATTTTCCTTTCCGTGCGGGTGTTTGTTTCACTTTTTGTATCATTGGTATGGTATCTTCCAAATGCACATGCATGTTCCCAAACACTCCTTGGATTAGATATAGAAACTCTTGTTGAGACTGACTGACCGCATGGTACAATGTTGAACCATTTTATTCATTATGTATGATATTATTTTTTATCACTCCTTTTCTCGGTTTAGGGTTCATCTCCTTAAAAATAAAAATAAACACTTCTCACTTTGAATGTTGTCACATTTTGTGGATTTTCTTACTTTGAAACTCCAGCACCTTATCTAAACAAATTATACATTAAAATTTAAGGCTATGTTTGACAGGCATAAAATTGAAATTGAAATTTTAGAATTGAAATTGGAAATGAAATTTTGAAATTGAAATTTTAGAATTGAAATTAGAAATGAAATTTTGGAATTGGAATTGAAATTGAAATTGAAATTGGTGGAAGTAGAGATAAACAACTTGAATAAAAAAAAATTCCAGTTCCATCAATTATAATTACAATATTTCAATTACGTGCTGTTAAACACAATCTAAGAATAATTTAGAAAAATTTAAATTTCAAATAATTTTTTAAAATAAACAATAAACACTTATTTTGGGACTTTAAAAAATAATAATATAATGACACTTTACGTCTGAGAGTCGGGGAGTATTACAATTTTTCCTATGAAAAATAGGTTGGAAACTTTCAATAAAGTTATTGCTCATTCTTTATATGATTGTGTGTATATATGGAGTACCTTTATTAAAGTGTGTGATTCACTTTGTCATATAACTTTATAAAAAGATAACTGATTTCTCATTCTTTTTTATACCTTACTTTTTCTTTACATGTTGGACTTTGAAGTGGAATCATATGTCTGCATAATTTGTACGTTGTGACCTCCTTTGTATTTTACTTTATTTTAATTTTTAAAACAGTATATCTATATCTATATCTATACTATTATATCTATATCTATATATATATTTATATTATTATTAAATGTGTAAAGTATTTCAGTGTTTCAGTATTTCAGTATTTATTTATTTATATAAAAAAATATTTATTAATCGATATAAAAATAGTTTTTGTAAAACTAATTTTTATAAAATTCTAAAAATTACCTAATAAAATCAATCACATTCTATATAAAACTCTTATTTTTAGTTTAATATAAAAAGAATAGTTATTTTTTATGAATAATTATCACAATATAACCAGTCCGGCCCAGTTATGATTATGTAATTATCATAAAAGGACACATGTCATCATCCTATTAATCCAAGAAACCTATAAATAGAGGCATGGAGAAAGGAGGAAGGGGTACAGAAATTGAGGATTCTAAAAATTCAGAATTCCAGAATAAAATACATAAACTCTGCCAAAGAATTTCAGTATTTAATTATTTATTTTTTATATATATAAATATTTATTAATTAATATAAAAAGAGTTTTTATTTATACTATTATTAGATGTGCAAAGAGTTTTAGTATTTATTTATTTATATAAAAAAATATTTAAAACACTAAAATCTACATAATAAAATTTAAATTAACCTATTTATCTATTTATTATTATGAATTTTTTAATAAAATAAAATCTAATTAGACAAGAATTATTAAAATAAAAAATATTTATTAATTGATATAAAAAACAAAATAATTTTTCTAAAACTCTATCACAAATTAGTTTTTATTATGAGTTTCTTAATAAAATAGAATCTAATTAGACAAGGATATATTTAAAGAAAATAAAATAATTTTTATGAAACTTTATCACAAATTACCTATTTTATTTTCAATAAAACTCTATCACACTAGACAAAGATATATTTAAAGAGTTTATATAAAACTCTAACACAAATTACCTATTTATCTATTTATGATAAATTTTTTAATAAAAGGAATTAATATAAAAAATTATTTATTAATTTATATAAAAAGAGGTTTTAAAGGAGTTTCTATAAAACTCTAACACAAATTACCTATTTATCTATTTTTTTATGAGTTTTTTTTAATAAAAGTAAATATAATAGGACAAGAATTATTAAAATAAAAAATATTTATTAATTGAAAGATTATCTAATAAAATCAATCACATTTTATATAAAATTCTTATTTTTAGTTCAATATAAAAAGAATAGTTATTTTTTATGGATAATTATCATAATATAATACGCTCGGCCCAGTTGTGATTATGTCATTATCAGAAAAAAAAAAAAAAAAAAAAAAAAAAAAAAAAAAAAACATGTCATTATCCTATTAATCAAAGAAGCCTATAAATAGAGACAATAAAAAAGGAGGAAGGGATACAAAAATTGAGAATTCTAAAAATCTAGAATTTTAGAGTAAAATATAAAAATTCTGCCAAAGAGTTTCAATATTTATATAAAAAAAATATTTATTAATTGACATAAAATGCGTGCCTATGCGTTGAATGTGTAGACCCACGAATTAAAAATAAAAGATACCATAATCTTTTAGGGTTCGTTTGGTTAGACAGAAATAGAGGTAGA